CCCCCCCCTCTCTCTCTGGTGGATGTGTACTTGATAATGTATGTGTGTACACATTTCTGTGTATTCATGCATGTGGAGGTCACAGGTAGATATTGTCTTTCCTCAGTTGCTCTCCACCTTAACTTTCGAGAAAGGTTTTCACTGACCGTGAAGCCTGTTGATTCACTTAGCCATGCCAGTGACCTTCGGAGACCTGCCTATCTTCATACTCCTTTCCTCAGCACTGGGTTTACAGTTAATACCACCACACCCAGCTTTTTCTGGGCATCTAGACTTTTGTTCTGGGGATTCACACTGTTCTGTAGTGGTCTTCTTACCAACTGAGCCTTCTCTTCAGTCCTCAATATACAGGTTATTTTATTCTTATTTTCTGAAGTATGTGTGTGTGTGTGTGTGCGCGCACATGTGCGTGCACGTAGCATGTATGTACATGTGCAGAAGTCAGAGTGGACAACTTTGAGTGTCATCTTTAGGACTTCTGTCCACCTCCTTTGAGATAGGGTCTCACTGATTTGGTTAGAATGGCTGGCTTGTCAGCAAGTCTATGGATTTTCCTATCTGCCTACTCCAGTTCTGGGATTATGAATACATGCTACCACACCTGGTTTTTTAAACCATGGTTGTGGGGATTGAACTCTGGTCCTTGTGCTTGCATGGTAAGCACTTTACCCACTGAGCCATCAGTCCTAGCCCCAGTCTCATCTTAATTACTAATATTAACTCTCGCTGGCACATTATCCTTCATGCAATAACGTATAAATGTTACAGAATGGGTTAAAGAGGCAGCCAGCTTGAAAGCAGCACCAAATAAGTTTCATGAACTGCAAGCCACAGAGCTGTCGGGGCTCAGAGTTAGCAAATGCAGGTCCAGGTCGCAGCAGTTTTGAGTGTCAGTTTTAAGTGGGACATATGTCCCTGACAGAAAAAACCTGCTTGAACTGAATCCCCAGGACAGATGAAGTTCCCTTACTGTGGCAGCTTTCCTGGATAAGGCTCAAAATGGTAGGTCAGTGTGCCTGCCATGTTCAATCTTGGTGCGCCTTTAAAGTGCAAAGTGAGAAGCTTCCATCTGGTGTGACAAGCTCCCACATCTGCTGTTTCTGGTATTATTTTGATGTATTCACATGTGTCTTTCCTTAGTGGCACAAATCACCTAGTGATCAGTCCTTGAAATGCTGGCAATAGCAATTGTTCACCTGTATGAACAGGAGGTAGAGTCACTCTACCTTGACGCTTGTACTCAGAATGGTATGACTCTTGGTGAAGACTGTTACTAACTGAGGACCGGGTTTGGGTTGAAAGCTGCTGTTTTGACAACATCATACCTCAGAGCAGAGGTGAAGGAAGATGGTAGGAGACTGAGGGAAAGTTGTTGAGACACAGGGAACAACAATGCAAAATCCTGAGGTGAGGACACAACTGGCTTGCTGAGGAGATTCAGCAGAGGGAAGTATGGAGTAGTTGGCGATGAGACTGGAGAGGCCACCTTGCCTAGAGCCTCATGTGCCACTGCTATAGTATTGTGCTGTGCTCTGAGTGGGATGGTGGTAGCTACAGTGTCATGAGCAGAGGATCATGGCTCCTGGTTGCTATGTTGAAAGTGATGAAGAGCTCCTGAGGTGTAAGCCCAGTGATAGATGGGTTAAGGAGTTACTGTAGGATGTTCAGATGGAGAAACTGAGGCATCAGGTAATGAAGCACCAAAGCTGGTAAAAAGTATGGGGAAGAGTTTGGTTCTGTTTTTCTGGTATTGTTACATAGTGGGAGATGTCCTCCTACTCCATACAGGGTCTCAGTGCTGAGATTACAAGCTTTTCTCACCATGCTTAGCCACAGTAGGAATTTGCATCTAGGTATCCTGCCATCTCTTAGCTGCCCCTTCTCTAGTTCCTGTTGATTGGCTTGAACCCTGAGTCTGTCCTGGGCCTAAATGTTACTTTCTCTCTGCAGGTCTTGTGACTGAGGGCCGGGCAGGTTTGGACATTGTGCACCCGGTGCGAGTGGATGCTGGAGGCTCCTTCCTGTCCTATGACCTGTGGCCACGGGTGGTACGCAAGCGAGATGTGTCTGTTAGGAAGGCCTCATCTGCTTTCTACCAGCTGCAGTACCAAGGGCGGGAGCTGCTTTTCAACTTGACCACCAACCCTTATCTCCTGGCTCCCGGCTTTGTGAGGGAGATTCGACGTCAAAGCAGCCTAGGCCATGTGCACATCCAAACCAGTGTCCCAACTTGCCATTTGCTTGGTGATGTTCAGGACCCAGAGCTGGAAGGCGGCTTTGCAGCCATCAGTGCCTGTGATGGTCTAGTAAGTTCTCTGGGATGCTCGAGGGGAGGGCTGGGGTTGGTGTGACATTGACTCTGCCTGATGGCTTGGCTCAGTATACCTTTCCTCTGTCAGCTCTGTGCTCATGAAGGAAACAGAAATGACAGTGCAGACTTCCTTGTTCTGAAGGACTGAAAACTTGAAAGATTTATGTGTGCTAGCATCTTTGTTTGCCTTTGTTGGACAACTCACTCTGTAGACTAGTCTGTTCTTAAACTCAGAGATCCTCCTGCCTCTGCCTCCCGAGTGCTAGGATTAAAGGCATGCATCACTATGGCCTGGCTTTATTTGTTTTGGGATCCAATTCTTGAAGTTCTGAAAATGTCCTGGGTAGGAAGCTGCTACTCCAGAGACCCCACGTGGAACAGCGTTTACAGAGGCTAAGTAAGCAATTGGTCCCCTTTCCCCTGGGGTGCCAGTTAGGATTCTCTGCAGAGTCACTTATGAGCTGAAACCTTTGTCTTTTAGCCTTCCAGCCCAGGCTAGAGATCTCGGAAATCCCTCTCTTCCTACCTCTGCTAGCCTCTAAGACAGTTCGTAATTGCTTGTGGGATTCCACTACCCAAAGGCTAACGCGCCTCTGATCTAGGCAGCATTCATTTGCTTTCTGCACCACCAAGCTCCCAAGAGTGTATAGCAGGAATGGGGGTACATAGACACAGCCATCCACTGATTCCGAAGGGCTCTTGCTATAATGGCTCAGGTGAAATCCATGAGATCAGCAACAAATGGCATGCACCTTGAACTCCATAGTCCCTAGGCATGAGAAGCTCATTTGTGCAGTAATCTATTCTGGTTTAGGAGCCTATGCCTGCTTCCTAGGTGCAGTTTCTCTCATTGAGCCTGAATGGCAGCTGGGCAGAGGAGATCTTCCCATTCTACAGTTGAGGAAGAAAGTTTGAGCAGACCTTGCCTAAGGTCACCATTCAGGGACGGAGGCTGATTCAAAGCCCCTTCTGTAGTTCCTGAAGCAGGTGTACTTTCTGGTACTCTGGGTTTCTTGGCTCCATGTGATCCAAAGGGTCCAATTGGTGCTACTGGGGAACTTCTAAAAGGGGTAACACCTTTTCTAGTAGAGTCTCCAGCTTGCAAGGGCGGTGGTGGGTTGCCTGAATCACATCTCATGACCTTCCATTTTCTGAACTCTATGCCAGGCTGATGTGCCCAAAGTGCTTCTGCCAGCTTCCCTTCTCTGGCCAGCTGCGGACTTGAGAAGCAGAATATCTTGGTGGTCATGGCAACTGGGTGGCTTGGGTGTGACAGAGCTGTTTTTGAAGTGATTCATTGCCTCAGGGAGACTGAAGAGGTCGAGGAGAAGCAATGGCCAGCTGGGAGGGGGCATGGTGGCCGGAGAAGACTGGCAGGCAAAGGAGACGCAAAACATCCTGGGGGCATGGACATGGGCCACCTGACTCGGGAGGGTTGTCTGGGACTGAGTAAAATGTCATCTTGTCAGATTCCAACGCAGATCTCTTTCTCCCTCCTAATGGTGTGTGTCAGGGCTGGGCCAAATCCTTGGAGTTGTTTCAAGAGGCTTCTAGTAAGGGCCCGAGCTTTGCTTTGAAGCCCTTAGCTGTGTAGAATGGCAAGGAAAGAATTAGCAACAGCCTAGAAGGAGGGAGTTGCTCTATCTGTCTATTGTGGGTCCAGATTGTGGAGGTGGGGTTCAACTGGGTAGGGCAGGGGTATGTGAAAAGGCAACCATATGCCAGCCCTCCACCAGTGACTCTGATGAATTTTTCCCAGAGAGGTGTGTTTCAGCTCTCCAATGAGGACTACTTCATCGAGCCTCTGGATGGAGTTCCAGCTCAGTCTGGACATGCCCAGCCCCATGTGGTGTACAAGCACCAAGGCTCTAGGAAGCAGGCCCAGCAGGATGGTTCCAGGGCTTCAGGCACCTGTGAAGTGCAAGGTATGTACCTTTCTGTAGAGTTGTGGGTAGAGACTACCTGGAGACTCATGTTCTTTCTAGAAACCTCTCTGAACACCCTCAAGCCCAGCTCTCTTGGACTGGAGCCGTGTTTCTCAACTGGCGGGTTAAGACCCTTGGGTAGGTTAAACGACCCTTTCACAGGGGTTGCATATCAGATGTCTTCCATATCTGATATTTGCATTGTGATTCATAGCAGTAGGAAAAATTACAGTTATGAGGTAGCAACAAAAATAATTTTATGGTTAAGGGTCACCACACATGAGGAACTTCATTAAAGGGTCACAGCAGTAGGCGGAACCACTGAACTAGTGGGCCACAAACATTTAAACAGACATACCACCCTAGTCTTTGATGTTCCATTAACCTGTGGCATGGGCTTGACAGTTCTGAAGGTAGGACTGTCCCTCCTACTGTTACTCATCTCCCTTGTCAAGTTGGTAATTTATCTTCCTCAGCTTTCTCTTCATATCGCTCATAGTGTCTCTGACTCTGTCAATCATCCTTTCTCCAGTGGCTGGGCTGCCCCTAGCCAGTTCCAGCAGGGATACTGGTGAGGAGCCTTCTGACTCTCTCTCCTACTTCTATTCCAGACTAATCAACCTGTGTTTTGGGGGCCCTACAGCTCAGTACCTGGGGGGATCTTATCCACATCATCTCTGTCCTCCAGTGTCCCCAGAGCTGGAGCACCAGCGAGAACATTGGGAACAGCAGCAGCAGAAGCGGAGGCAGCAGCGATCCGTCAGCAAAGAGAAGTGGGTGGAGACCCTGGTAGTGGCTGATTCCAAGATGGTGGAGTATCATGGGCAGCCGCAAGTGGAGAGCTATGTGCTGACGGTCATGAACATGGTGAGGTTGCTACAGTTTTTAAAGTGGTGGCCAGGGTGGCAGAGGAGGAGACATTGCAAGGGGACATAAAGGGTGATATGGATAGGTATACTGACAGACTGGCTTCCAGATGGTGGACCAGGCTCCAGGCTCTGAGTGTAGAGAGAAGCAGGGCCCTGGCAGGATCCCTGGAGGGGGGATGTATTATAGAGTACAGTCATAGAGCTTCTTTGATACTGAATTGTACTGTGTCTTGCCCTAGACTGTACAAGTGCTGAACCACCCTGCTGGGAGGAGTGAGTGAAGGTTGGGGCCTCCCCAGATCTGTGCTTGCCTGAGAGCACATGGTCTGGTTGGTTCATATGCTCTACCCTGAACAAACCCCTCCCTGCTTTATGTCAGGATCTGTGCTAAGCTGGGGACAGGCATACCTAACTACACTAGTCCTATCTGAGATATGTACAAGCCTTGAGCTGGAAATATCTGCTCAGTTTTGGGGTCTACTAACTGGTGACCTTGAGCAGGTCTGTGGGGTAGGGTGGACAGTAACACTTTACGGGCTGGGCACATTGCTTTTAATTCTATATGACAGTTGAGATGACAGGGGATCTCAGAGGTATGGACTTAGCAGTTTGTCTCAGTTAAGGTTTTATTGCTGAGAAAAGACACCATGACCAAGGCAACCCTTATAAAGGAAAACATTTCACTGAGACTGGCTTACAGTTCAGGAGTTCAGTCCATTATTGTCATGGTAGGAAGCATGGCAGCATGCAGGCAGACCATGGTGCTGGAGAAGGAGCTGAGAGTTCTGCATCTGGATCAGAAGGCAGCAGGAAGAGACTGAACCACTAGGTGTGGCTTGAGCATCTCAGACCTCAAAGCCCACCTCCCAGTGACCACTTCCTGTAACAAGGCTACACCTTCTAATAGTGTCACTCCCTATGGGACTATGGAGACTATTTTCACTCAATCTACCACACAAGTCAAAGAAACAAGGCAGAGCCAGACAAGGCAGTCTGGGTCTCCAAAGGCCCACCCAATGGGGACTGTGGCTGATGCATCCCCACCCTGCCCCACCCTTGCTGACTGTGTTGTCAAGGCCTTCTTCCCAGACCCCTTCTTGAGGGGCAGGATCCTGTAGACCAGCAGGCTGATCCTTGTAATCGTCCCAGGATCTTACTGCTCTGTACTGCTTTGTCTGCCCCTAAGACCAGGGCTCACTTGCTGCCACCTCAAAATAAGTATCTCTGTGGTCAGCTGGGATGTATGGTTGTGAATCCAGTTCTCTAAAAAGGAGCTGTAGTCATGGCTGCTCGTTACCAGCTAACATCACAGTCCCCCTGCCCAAGTCCTCATGAGGAAGTGCAGTTCTGAGGCAGTCCTTGGATTGGATACCATCGCTGATTCCTTGCTCTTTAGGGAGCAAAAGGCCTCTGAAGCCTTCTGCTTCAGGGGTCTCACGCAAGACTCTTTGCTTGAGTGAGGAGGGTTCTCACCCCCAGGTCCTGTTCTTCCCAGTGTCACTGCTTAAGAGTTCAGATTGAAAGAGATTGCAGCTTGGCTAGGTCCACCTATAATTAGCAGGATTCACCTCACTTCTGAGTTCTAGGGAACAGAAGTAAGTGTGTGTCAAGACTTGTGCCCAGTGAGATCTACTATCCAAACATAACAGGCTCCGGATCAGGCATTGTGCTCCAGGGCCCAGCAGTTTCTATTTGGTAGAAGTGGGTTGGCTTTTGAATTCCCCTGTAGGTGATTAAGGGGCTGACATCCATCCTGAATGGGGGGTGATAGTAGCCTCTAGCATCACTTTATCTCCACATCTGACCTCAAGAAGTTATCTACCCTCGACATTCCTCCTTTCACTGGGAAGAGCAGAACCCCAGGATCAAGAACCCTTCCTCAACTGTCCAGAGGCCAAAGAACATCTAGGGCCTAAGGGATGCTCAGTTGGCAAAGCTCTTACCAGGAGTTCAATCCCCAAAAAAACTCACATAAAAAAGGCAGAGAAGGTGACACATGCTTGTAATCACAGTACGCAGGAGGCAGAAACAGGTAGATTCTCTAGAGCCCGCTAGCTAGCCAGCATAGACTAACCAGCAAGCTTCAGATTAAAGAAGAAGCTGTCTCAAACAAGATGAGGGCTGCAGAGAGAGCTTAGCAGGAAAAGTCATTTGCCTGGGAATGCCTGGGCATCTGAGATTGATGTCCAGAACTGATGAACCCTTGAAAGTTGGCCTCTGACCTCCTCATATGTACGAGCCAAATGAATGTTCACATTCACATATTGTAATAGGCGTGGTAATAATAAATCAAATTAACAAACAAGATAGTTTCTAAGGCATGATATCCAAGGTCAACCCTCTATCTTGACTCCCAGGATCCATTCATGTCTATTCCTTGGGAAGGCCAGTCTTGGCTTCCCCAGGAGAGAAAGAGAAGAGTCAGAGCTCCATGCTAAGCAGCTGTCATTCAGAGATCTGGGATGCTGTTGGCTCTGTGGAGGGGATGGATGGGGTCAGTATTTGCAAGTAGATCTCAAGCTATTGCCCAGAATAGGCCAGAGCCCTAGGAAGCAACCTGGAAGGAGTCTGTGTGATCTGTCACTGCTGGGTTGGGGCAGTGTGAGTGTTAGGTATGGAGAGGTGGGGGCACTAGTGCATCCACGTCCACAGTAATGTGTGCAGCTGGTATGCCCCCCTGAGTGATCATGTGTGTGATCAGATGTGCATGCTCCTGAGTGGCTAGGGTAGGCACTGGGTTCCATTTCCTATATCCTGGTTGTAACCTGATTCCCCTCCCCATCCCTCTTGGATAGGTGGCTGGACTCTTTCATGATCCAAGCATTGGGAACCCCATTCATATCACCATTGTGCGCCTTATCATACTGGAAGATGAGGAGGTGAGAGGTCACATAGTCCCAAGCTGTCCCCAACAGTAAGCTCTCCTGCCCTGTGCCTTGAGTGCCTCCTTGGCCTTGACAGTATCCTCTGACACTTCTTGTCCTTGAGACAGTCTCTGTCTAGTTACAAACAAAGGGGTGGAGGCTGGGAGGCCTGGTCAATCTGCCCCTTGGATCTCTGATTCCTGTCTTGGTGTGGGGGCAAATTGGCCTTATCCCCAGAGCTCAGTATGAGTCCTGAGCCACCATTCTTCTTCCATGCAGAAGGACTTAAAGATCACACACCATGCGGAAGACACCCTGAGGAACTTCTGTAGGTGGCAGAAAAGCATCAACATGAAGGGTGATGACCACCCACAGCACCATGACACTGCCATCCTGCTTACCAGGTACCTTACCAGGCAGGGTAGGAGTGCCTTAGAATAGAGGGTTCTCATGTTATTGCCATAATCAATACTGAAACACCTTGCAGCCACCCAAGCTCCCCACGGTCATGCCTTGTCCAGTTTAGATAACTCAAGCAGGAAGTAGACAGAGGTGTAACCCAAAGGCGTGTTCAGGACTCACTAGTTCTGCATGTCTGTGAGTGTGTGTGTATGTGTGTGTATGTATGTGGGTGGTGTGTGAGTATGCGTGTATGTGTGCTTGCATGCATGTGCATGCTTGTGAGTGTATGGTGTATGGTGAATGTGTGTGGTGTGTGTGAGATGGATGAATGGTATGTGGTATATGTTCTGTATGTATGTGGACTGTATGTGATGTGTGTGGCGTACGTGTGGTGTATGTGGTATGTGTAGAGTGTGCGCTCACAGTGTTGTGCTAGTCGGTCTAGGTTGGTGGCCAAGAGTCCTTTCCAGAGCACTGGCCTTCAAAATCACCCTCATGTCATTTTTTCTTTATGGCAGTTTTCTCCCTCTCTCCTACCTTTTGAGGCCCTATTTACTTTTCCCCCCAACTTCGAGATGTTTTGTTTATGTATTTGTGTGTGTCTGTGTGTGAGCAAACATGCATGCCACAGCACATGTATGGAGGGCAGAGGGTAACTTGAAGGCATTGTTTCTTGCCTCTGATCATGTAGTCTCCAGGCATCTAACTCAGGACAGCAGGTTGGCCACAGTGCCTTTACCATTGAGCTATCTCTGGCTCTGCGTCTGTGTTCCACCTGAACTTATCTTCCCTCTACTGGGCTGTGGCAGCTAGAAGGGTACAAAAGTTTGTTCTAGGCACGCATTCCCTTCTCAGGTCCCAGTAAGTATTGGGAAGGTTATATGTGAACAAAGGCACCTGCTTTTCAAATGGCCGTATGTGGGTCTGATGTCAGAGTGAGGAGAAATGACACCCTAGCTCCCTGGTCTAGGGTAGCCTGGCCTTCTCCCTGCCCTCTTGGCATTGGGCTAAGCCAGTCTCTGACTACTTCTTTCTTTGCAGGAAGGATTTGTGTGCATCCATGAACCACCCTTGCGAAACGCTGGGCCTGTCTCATGTGTCTGGCTTGTGCCAACCTCAGCTCAGCTGTAGTGTCAGTGAGGATACTGGCCTGCCACTGGCCTTCACAGTGGCCCATGAGCTAGGACACAGGTAACTCACCTGCCCTCATTGCCAGTTAGGAACCGACTTTACCTTTCCACTCTTGGGTGTCAGCCAGCAGGGCTCCTGGGTCACAAAAGCTGAGGGAGTAAAACAGTTTGAGTTGACAGTTCCAACCACAAAGCCCCAGGATTGCCTCTGTTCCTCAACAAGACTGCTCCCCTATGTGTGGGAGAGAGGCCTGCTGGGGCATCACTGAGACCCATCTGTAGCGTGTCACATGGAAGAGGAGTAGGGATGGCCAGTCAGTGTATAGAGCCTTGGACACCTTTCGTGCTCTCAGTGCTGGCCCCTTTTACTCTTGCCACTTGCTTCTATCCCACCTGCACTGTGACCCTGGGCAAGTGTCATGTCCTTTCTGGGCTTCTGTGGGTCCTACATAGACAAAGGAGGCTAGATGTAGTGGTGCCACCTCTGCCTGTGCCCTGTGCCCTTTACCACCTGTGCTGGGGTTGGCGAGTTGGTGAAATGGATTGTGCTGAAGCTTCATTTGGTAGGCTCCCAGATAGCTCTTTGGGCCAGAGGGTTTTGACTGGGTGACAGCCATGTCTATGTTTGTGACTCTAGTCCTCCTGGCTGTCTTACTCTGGCAAGTTCTACAGCCTTTCTGAGGTGATGAGGACTGAGTGAGTTAGTAGTAGGCATGACTCCAGGTTCATAGCTGGTACTCAGGAATGTTTTCTTGAGCCATTCTCAAAGATGACTTCTTGAGACTTTCTAGAGACATAGTAGCTCAGACCTCTTTTTTTTTTTTTTGGTTTTTCGAGACAGGGTTTCTCTGTGTAGCCCTGGCTGTCCTGGAACTCACTCTGTAGACCAGGCTGGCCTCGAACTCAGAAATCCACCTGCCTCTGCCTCCCAAGTGCTGGGATTAAAGGCGTGCGCCACCACCGCCCGGCTAGCTCAGACCTCTTAACTCAAGTTCATAGCCTGAGGTCATCTTGGGCCAATGAGGTTGTAGGGTCGCAATAGACTTCTAGCAATAGACTTCCATCCGTGCCTCCTGAATTGCCATTCTTGGCTAGCTCTGGGCACAAGGACATGGCTGTGAGGGCCATTAAACAGATTCATTTTAGGCTAGCTAATACATGTAGATGGGAAACCCAGGGTATACTGCTGTCATCCCCACATTCTGTATTAGGGAAACTGAGGCTCATAGACAGCATGTGGCTTTCTCAAGGCACACAGCCATTAGGTGACAGAGTTAGCCCTGGGAATTGGGATTGTACCCCTTGCAGGCCTCCATGGGAAGGAGGCCTGGGGGCCTCCTGCTGCTCACCTGCCCCTGGGGCCTGTGCTCTCACGCAGTTTTGGCATTCAGCATGACGGCACCGGCAATGACTGTGAGTCCATTGGGAAACGGCCTTTCATCATGTCTCCACAGCTCCTGTATGACAGAGGCATTCCGCTCACCTGGTCCCGCTGCAGCCGCGACTACATCACCAGGTTCCTTGAGTAAGTCCTGGGCCTGGTGGCCAGGCCCTGTGTCTGCTGTCATTGTCCCATGGTGGGATGCAGTGCCAGGGAGTGTGATGTGGGGGGCACCTGGTAGACATCCTGGTAGACATAGTGCTTCAAGGGTCCTCTTGGACAGTGCACCTATGCTGTGGCTTGGAGGATGGGCAGGAGCTCATGAGCCCTCAGCTAGGGTAGGAAGGCGAGGCCACTGGAAACAGGGAGAGCTAGTAGTGAATGGAGTCCAGAAGATGCAGAGCAACACTGGAGAATAGGTGACCAGCTTCACAGCCCAGTGAGAGCAAGCAAAGTCAGCAGCAAAAGTAGAAGGCTTTTCCTTCCTTTCTTATTTTGCTGAGCCATTTTTAAAACTTTATTTAATGTACATTGGTGTTTTGCCTGCATGTATATCTGTGTGAGGGCATCAAAGCCCCTGGAACTGGAGTTGTAGATAGCTGTGAACTGCCATGTGGGTGCTGGGAATTGAACCTGGGTCTTCTGGAAGAGTAGTCAGTGCTTTTTAACTGCTGAGCCATCTCTCCATCCTTCCTTGTTGAGCTAGTTTTCATTCCTACTTAATGTTCTAAATAAGAAGAAGCTTAAATCTAAATTCTTTTTTCTACACACTTATTTATTGATTGTGGTGCATGTATGGAGGTCAAACTTACGGGCATTGGTTTTCTAGATTCTGGGGATCTAATTCAGGTTGTCATGCAAGGGCCTTTACCTGCTGAGCCATCTCCCTGGTCTTAAATTACCCCCAACACCTCTTACTCCTCTTGTTTTTAAAGTTAAGATGCTTCATACTCTCTCTCTTTAAAATTTATCAGTGTCTGAGTGTGTATGAAAGAGAGAAAGAGAGAGAGAGAGAGAGAGAGAGAGAGACAGAGACAGAGACAGAGAGAGAGAGCCTGCACACACTGTGCACGTGTGGAGGTCAGAGGACAACTGTGTGCACTTAGATAGGAAGCCATTTAACCTGCTGAGCCACCTCAGTGTGCACCGAACCAACTTCTTAGCACACAGTCTGCCATTCACTTCGACTCTGTGCAGAGCAGGTGTGTGATACTGCTTTACAAACCCAGGGCCTCAAGCATGGCCAGGCATGATCTTGGAAACTTTGCTACATGTCCATGCCCTGGTGCCAGTTTTATTTGAGATGCCAAAGTCAACCTTTCACATACAGAATGTATAGAGGAGAAACAGCTGCCTCTTGAGAGATCTATAGCTTTGATTATGACTTTCTGAGTCACCGATGAAGAGCTTATCGGGATGCAGCTTTTTTTTTTGGGGGGGGGGTGGAAGTGGGAGCATCCTTAAATGTTAGAAACTGACTTCATGTTTCTGAGTGATTCAGGATACCCAGAAAAGATGCTCCTCTACTAGGAGAGTGTCACATCTGTCTGCTGTTGTCTGTCATGTGTGACAGGGCAGGGCTTGCTGGTGTCCCAGCCTTCACTGTGCAAACTCTTAGTGTCCCTTTCTCTGTAGGATCCTCTACTGTGGGCCTTTGTCTGTGACTGGGATTCCTAGGCCAGATCCTTCTGGGTCTTTGGAGTAGAAACCTTCAGATTAGCTCTGACCTCAGCTCTACTGGTCCCAGTTAGCTAAGGTGCTCTGAGATCCTGGGTCTTTCAGTGTTCTGCTTCTCTGTCATTTCTCCTCACAGGCTTTAGCTCTCAGCTTCTGTCACTTTCCCAAGTCAGCTACTGGTTGGCCATCTGCTTTCCAGCTTCCAGAATTCTGTGACATCTCTCATTTGCTGTCAGCGCTTCCCTCTTACCCTCTGCCCGGGTGGAGTTATGGTTTGTTTATCCCTCAAATGTCAGGGTAGAAAAAGGTTCAGCAGAGATAGGCCTGCTCAGTGTGCTGTGGTTCTCTGGAAGCCCACTCCCCACGGTGGTAGCCTGGGTGGACGTCTAGGGCCTCTGGGCATGTGAGAGCATGGATACCGGCCTCCCCTGGAAGAGGGGTTTGTGTGAGGGGTGACAACTGGAAACTGAAGAGTTCCGTTTGGTGACTAAAACTTGGACACTGGCCCAGTCGCCTCGTGTTGGCAGATGAGTTACATTAGTCCTTAAGCCTCCCAAAATGGGGATTGTGATGGACAACCTCAGTGTTTGCTGTGAGGATTAGCCAAGAAAGCACGAGGCACGCTTAGCACAGTGCCTATCACACAGTACACAGTCAGTACATGGACATAGTTGCTATCACTATTTCTGCAGTTACCAAGTGGTTGACCTCGTGAACTTGAACAAGGGGTGTAGCCTGGGGTTGGGGAGGAGGTGAGTCTCCCCCAGAGATGGGCAGGGAATGAGATTGCTTGGGAAATCAGAATAGAAGGGGACCCTGAAACACCCGCAGGGCTTGTTCCCAGCTACCCCACCCTGAGTGCCACCCAGCACCCTGGCTCTGGGACAGACAGCTGAACAGGCAAGTCTCTGTGTTCTTTTAGCTGCTGGAATGTATGAGAGCCTTGGCCAGGGGCCTGGGCCGAGGGTAGGAGGAGAGGCAGTGAGCCTGACGCCTGCGTTGCAGATGGAAATGGGACCCATCACCTGAAGGTGCTTGAGAGAGAGAGTCGAGCACCTCAGGTCAGGGCACACATCTTTGCTCTATCTGTGAGTGACAGGCAAGGAGATCAAAGTCCAGGAGGAGGGGAAATCAGAAGGACCCTCCACAACAGACAGAGGGGCTGTCCTAGCTCCCATCCACGAGCTCCTTGCTGGGGCAGGACAGGAGATAAGTTTCTGCCCAAATAGGGCGGGGATCTGAAGGAGTGGGTGCTGAACGGGTGGTACAGTAGTGTTTCCACAGCCTGAGGAACTCTCAGCACAATGTACAGACCACCCACTATCCCTGTGTGACCACACCCCTCAGTTCCCAGCAAATATCTGCTTCTTGAGCCAGCAGACTAAGACACGGCTTGTCCTTGCCGGGTCATATATAGAACCTGTGTGCAGGCTCTCACCATACAAAGTGGAAAGCACAATGACTCAAAGTGACGAGTGCATAGCATCAGTTTGGGGTGTGTGTGTGTGTGTGTGTGTGTGTGTGTGCTATATGTGGGTATAGAGGGACACATTCTGGAGGCTTTTTAGAGATGACACTAAAGCTGGGGAGGAGAGGGAGCTGGACATAGGGGAAGCTGGGTGGAGGCAGGACACAGGGAACCTGACAAGGTGAAGGATCAGGGCATGGTAATGGGGTGAAATGGAGTTTGCTAGTCTAGGACAGCTGACCTGAAGAACTCCAGGAAGTTCTCTGGGCTGAGAAGTGCTTGGGTATGGTGGAAAGGCTGCAGCATCCTGGCACCTCTGCTCTTCAGGCCTGGGAGATCCTGCTCGTGAGTGTTCTCAAAGTCAGGGCTTTGCAGAGTGGGAGGCAGGCCTGGAGAGTGAGGAGTCCTTCATCTCATCTCCAACACCCTCCTATTTAGTTACTCCATGACTAGAAACTAGGGCTCGGGAGGGACACTAACACACACAGGCAGTAGACAGCTCTGTGCAATATCGAGGTGACAGTAAGGCTTCCTACTCAAGTCATCCCTTGTCTACTCCAACCCTATGTGGGGTGGCCCAGCCATGATTAGCATAAGGAAGAGCCCTGAAGGGACAGCTGATGGGTGTGGAGACCTTGGTGTGTGTCCAGCTGTGTAAGGAGCCTGGCAGTGAGCCAGCCCGAGGAAGGAACGGCCGCCTCCCTGACGTTTCCCAGCAGACATTGCTGTGGATACTTCTATAACTTGGGGTCAGTCTGTTATACAAGAGGATGTGAAGGCCCAGAGAGGGTGGAAGCTCAAGGCCATACAACATCCACAGAGGCTGGAAAGGCCAGCTGCCAGCTGCTCCTGAGACTTTCCCCAAGCCGACACTGCTGTGTGTACTTTTATAGCCCTTTAGACATGAGGTTGTGATGATTCAGAGAGGCTTTGGGGTAAAAACAGAGGCCACACTACACCCTCAGCCAATTAGAGAGGTAGACTACAATCTCTCTAGCTGTTCAGCATCAAGCCCATCAGGGCCATCCTCAGCAGGAAGTTGACGCAGTGTCACAAGGGACTAGTGCTCCCTCTCCCTCCCTCTGACAGATTCTACTTCTGTATTTCTTCCTGGGACATTTCCCTCTGCCTGCTCCAACCAGCACCATGTTCATCCTGGCTCCCTAGCCTGCTACCTTCTGTCCTCAAATCTCCCTGGCTTGAGGTTGTCCTTATCTCCCACTGTGTCCCACAGATCTCGGCCCTACTGATTCCAACCAAGTCCTTTCTGCCTGGGCAACCTAGGTGCCTGTTTTTGTGGCTCAATTCTTTTTAGGTTCTGGGCCCTGGACCCTCTTCCCATTCCTGAAGGACCAAAATGAGCCCCAGAAGGCTGGCAGCATGCTCCTACCCTCCTGTTTCCAGGCAACCTCATAGAACCTATAGTCATGGCAGAGGTGGTTGGGTGGAACTTGGGAGGCTATTCCCAAGAGCCCTGTTGTCTCCTTGCTCCTTGCCTGCTGGTGGGGCTACATGGCCTCCTTTCTCAGCACTACATCGGAAGGAGTATGTGATGGTCGTGGGCTGGACCTGCTCACACTGGCCCATTCTCTTGAATGCTGACTAGAGGAAGGCAGGAAGGAATAGGCAGTAGGAAGCAGAGGGCTGGTCCCTCAGGTCAGGGTGGGAGTGGGCTGGGTAGCTTTTCCCCAGAGATCTTTTGTTCTGTCAGCTGTAGTGTGACGGTTTCTAGAGCCAGGCCCAGTCCAGCCTGGCTCTAGAGTCTCAGCAGGAATAGAAGCTGCAGGACCTAAGAGCATAACCACTTGAGGACTTGGGGAACCCGGCCTTTGAAAGAAGGGTGCCAGGGTCTCTGTGATGGTGCACATGCTGAAGGCTCCCTGTGGAGGGTGGGATATTTGTGAGATGGCTAGAGCTCCAGTCAGATGAGAGACGGCTTCAGGGCTGCTTTGGAAGGGTCACATGACCTGCTGGCCAGGTGGAAGACTGGCATTTTCCGATGAGGTTCACAATCCCCACCTGCTCTGCTCTTCTACCCAGGCTTCTCCCATGGGTCTCAGGCTGCACTGTTGCCCTAGGGACCTCAAGTTATCCTCTCTTTCTTTTTTTTTTTTTAGCCGTGGCTGGGGTCTGTGCTTAGATGACCATCCAGCCAAGGATGTCATTGAGTTCCCCTCGGTGCTGCCCGGTGTCCTGTACGATGTGAACCACCAGTGCCGCCTTCAGTATGGGCCTTATTCAGTCCACTGCAAGGACATGGATGTGAGTGTGGGTATGGGAGGTACAGGCGGGTGGTCCTCACCAGCCCGACAATGCCTGGCTAGGGGTGTGCTCTCAAGGGGCATGGCAATACCTAACGTGACTTGTGGCAGGCGCCTGGGTTTTGGTAGGCACAGGTACAGGTCTGGATTCTAAATCAAACCTTAGGGGACTATGGACAAGTCTTTCAGCTCTCTGGACTTGTCTTAGAAGAAGGGAGAAAAAAAATAATCAGTCCTTCAGGGTCCCAGAGAGGGTCTTGTAAAGACATGAGCTGAACTTCTATCTTGAATGTTTCAGGTTCTATAGCCTGGGACTGGAAGAGGTGGCCAGCTGGAGACAGCTGTTGGCATCAAGCCAGGCTGGACGATAGTCCCTCTCAAAGGCCCCATGGTATCATGTGACTGAGGGAGAGGGGCCAGAGAATCCTCACACTTGCACACTCATAGGATGTTCCTGTGGAAATGTGTTCTGTGGAAATGTGTCACCATGACAGTAGGGACAGAGTGGGTGGTATGACTGGGGAGAGTGTCTGAGGGTAATGTACATGCCTCTTTGCAGGATATCTGCCACACATTATGGTGCTCTGTGGGGACCACCTGTCACTCCAAGCTGGATGCGGCTGTGGATGGCACACGCTGTGGGAAGAATAAGGTGCGCAGGAAGCCTCAACCCTGGCTGAATATGGGATTGGGGAGGCCATCTTCCCTCTGCTCATTCCTAGCTCGACTTCCCTGGGGTCTGCTCTTAATTAACATTCTCACTTTTGGTCCAGTCAACGTGGGTTTTATTTTATTCTTCACCCAGCTTCACCATGGCGTATTCGTTGTGGGTGACCATAGAGTCTGTCTTACACCTTCCATCCTCCTCTGTCTTTTGACACTTGTCTTGCCCACTTTGATCTCAGTGGGGTGAGGATGATTGACAGGTGTCGGGGTCTGCCCCCATATGTCTCAGTAGTGGTGTCTCAATGGAGAGTGCGTCCCTGAGGGCCTCCAGCCCGAGGCGGTGGACGGTGGCTGGTCCGGTTGGAGTGCCTGGTCTGTCTGCTCGAGGAGCTGTGGCGTGGGTGTACGGAGTGCTGAACGACAGTGCACACAGCCTGTGTGAGTGTGGGGCCCAGGCTGGGAGAAAGGATCCGAACGGAGCCAGCTGATAGCAGAGACTACCTCTGTTCCAGCCTCCGTCTCTAAGAAGTGTCCCTAGAATGGCCAAGTCCAGTGCCTAGGTCACCACGGGTCACTTCCAGGGAGCGTTCTGCAAGCGTTCCCCAGAGCTGACACACTAGCCAAGAGGGGAGTGCTCTCCAAAAGCTTGGGGAGATGCACAGAGACCTTGCTGCAAAGCCAGTGGCTGCAGAGAGGAGGATGCAGAGGTGAATGTTTAGAACTGCACCCTGGGATGTTCAGCCTCTAGGTCCTCCGTCCTCACACAAGGGCCTTCCTTCTTCACTGCTCCTCTGGGCCTCAGTTTGGTGCTAATGGGTGCCAGCAGAGCCTTCCTAGTCAAGTTGTCATTGGGCTAAGTCAGGCAGTATGGGTAAGGCACTGACCCTTCCTTATGCTGTGGGAAACACCCAGCACAAGCTGCTTTAGGTATCTGAGACTGGCTGCAGTACTAGCGGGGTGGCTATAGCTTCGGGTGAGCTTTCACATCTAAAGGGAGCTTTGGGAGACTTAGTGAAACAAGGGGCAGCCTGGCCCCACTGAACAAACTTTTTTGCTTGGCAGCCTGGGAGGTGGGATTCACAGCCAATTTCATCTCAGGGATGGTGCTTCATCAGGCCTCTGGTCCCTACCCCTCTGTATGTCCCTGCCTCCAGCTCAGCCAGTAGGGGGCTGGCTTGGCTTAGATGGGGTACAGGTTAGATGCCAAGCCAAGGTAACTTCTGGGTGGGGCTGGGAGGCTTCCTCTGACCTAGCCCAGGCATGCTGTCCCCAGGAACAAGTCTAACAACACAAGGCTAGCCCATCAGCCCACTACATGTTCCAGCCTCTCAGTAGCTCTCTTAGAGGTGGTCCAACTCCATTTTATAGACAAGGAGACTGAGGTCCGGAACATGGCAGTGTACATCTAAAGGGGGCTGTATGACTCATGGTCATACAGCAGTTCTGGGCTGAGCCTGAGGGTCTTGCTGCCACTATTCCTTAGATCCTTGGAGACAGGGAGGGTATATATGGCAGCCCTAGAGGGCAGAGCAGCATGATGGGGAGGATGGCAGGGGACTCTGGGTGCAGAAGATGTTGCTTGGCATTGGGCACTAATAGCATGCTCACAGCCCCATGGCTTTCCTTACAGGCCTAAGAACAGAGGCAAGTACTGTGTGGGGGAGCGGAAGCGGTTCCGGCTCTGCAACCTGCCAGCCTGCCCGCCGGACCGTCCCTCTTTCCGCCACACCCAGTGTAGCCAGTTTGATGGCAAGCTCTATAAGGGCAAGCTGCATAAATGGGTGCCTGTGCTCAACGATGGTGAGTTATGCTACCCACATGGATGTTGAGACTCAGAGGTGGCAGATGTAGGGATCCCAGTGATATAGGACCCTCAGTCCTTGGCGGCTCCCTGCTGTTGTCTGCGACAGCTATTCATTCTTCCCAGCTCCTCAGTCTGTGTGTGTGACATGGAGGATGCGGGGGTCTCCCTGGTGGCCTCTGTGATGCCTGGTCTTGGCTTTGCTTCCTGAATCCTCCTCTTGTCCCATCAGAGAACCCCTGTGAGCTGCACTGCCGGCCCTCTAACTACTCCAATACAGAGAAGCTGAGGGATGCCGTGGTGGATGGCACCCCCTGTTACCAAGGCCGTGTCAGCCGTGACATCTGCATCAATGGCATCTGTAGGGTATGTGGGATAGGAAGAGGTTCTCCCAGCCCTGTTGGCAGGTACCGGGCCCACCTCCAGGGCTTACCTGGCTTTCTCCTCCTTGCTGTCTAACTTTTAAGACAAACCTTTGTGCACTACTGTCTCTGGCAATGGAGACCTCACCGTTAGCACCATCCTGTCAGTCACTACTACCTTACCACTTCATTTCCAATAACTTCCTACAGCTCCTATCAGTGTGCCTGCCTATACGGCTCCACTCATGAAAGCCTAGGTGGATTCAGGAAACTGCCTCCTCTCACCGAAGGGGTTGCCAAGGTGGTGGTAGTGGTATGCTGGGCTCTGAGCCTGGAGACAGCACTGTGTTTGGTAACGGTTTGTCTGTTTTCTAGTCCTTGCCACTCTTCCACGCCCAGGGCCCCAGCCACCTTCCTTACCCCACTTCTTGCCTTTAAAGCCACTGTGCTAAAGGCCCAGGTCTAGAGGAGGCCTCAGAAAGAGGTGCTAACCCAGTGTCTCTGATTTTCTAGAAAAATTCCACAGTGTGCCAGAATCCACACTTACCTGTAGTCTTATGTGAGAGACACTTCCTGCCTCTTGTCTCCTGGGATGTTCTTAACACTCTTTTAAGGCATGAAATGATGTCTCCCCTATTTCTCATCTGGGGAAACTGAGGCTCAGGGGAAGAAGACTCGGTCATCAGGCAGTATGACTATGATAGGACTGGACCCAAGCAAGGGCTTTTGACTTCCTCCTAGGGTCTCTCTCCTGAGTCCGGCAGATACTCACCGGGGAAAGGGGTTGGCAGCCAGCACAAAGGGCTTCCTCTCTGTTACAGAAAGTGGGCTGTGACTTCGAGATTGACTCTGGTGCTGAGGAGGACCGCTGTGGTGTGTGCCAGGGGGATGGCTCTACATGCCACACCGTGAGCAGGACCTTCAAGGAGGCTGAAGGCCTGGGTATGGTTGGGGCTGCTGGGCTGGGAATGTATGCCTGTCATCGTGTTGCCTGCCCCTGTGGTCCTCGTCTAGACTAGACATGGCAACAGGACCCTCCTTGTTTGGCCAGGGTCCTTATCCTTAGAGCAGACACTGAGTCCTTGTTCCAAGTGAGACCTGTCTTCCTAAGGGTTCTTCTAAGTGACTGTGAATGGTGTGTAGTCCTTTCAGAGGGCTGTTATCTTCTGAAGTTTCAGAGACCTCCCCAGTACCATGTCCCAGCCTTGAGGTCTGAGTCACACATATTGCTTAAGTGCTAACTGTGTGCTTTAACTATGGGGGACGCCTAGGTGACAGAATCTTCACTGTGACAAAGGCAGTAGGCTATGTATTTCAGGAAGAGAAGGAAACACCAAGCTAGAAGGTCTTGACCTGGGAAGTCAGGGAAGTCAGGGAGTTCAGGGAAGACTTCTCACAGGAGGTGGGGAATGAGCCTAATGATGAATGACTCTGGAGATTGGTTGAGGAGAATCCCAGCTAGAGGCAAGCGTGTGGTAGAGTCTGCCCCTGTAAGGCAGGTAGGCCGTGAGGCTAGAATGCTGTGCTCCACAGCTTGCATTTCTTCCCAGGGCTGACTTGTATCCCCATAGGAGCCCTGTGTAGACCACCTTAACTCAGTGCTTCATTTCCTCATCTGTAGAGTGGGTCTAGCAACACTGTCTTGTTATGGAGTGGTGCTAGGCACACACAAGAGCAGTGTCGCCTAATAGAAAGAGAGAAGTTAGGCTACTCTAATTCTAAAGAGAGCAAAGGCCCAAGTGACTTTCCTGGATGGGAGAGATGATGGACCAGGCTGAACTGATAAAAATCAGTTTCCCAGTTTCCCAGATAGTAGTGGTAGACCATGAGGCAGAGGGGAAGGATCTGTGGGCCCTTTTTGAGGTCTTGGTGACCCAGAGTGGATACAATACCTATATATTTTGGGGGGAGAGGGGACTCAGAATCCTGAGCTGATTGTGGAGTCGTTGGTTTCAGCAGCAGAGCAAGTGCAGGCAAGAAGGTGGGGGACAACTGACTGATTAACCCCAGGGCCCAAACTCTGTACAACCCCTGCCCACAGGGTATGTGGATGTAGGGCTGATCCCAGCTGGAGCCCGAGAAATTCTCATTGAGGAGGTGGCTGAGGCTGCCAACTTCCTGGCCCTGAGGAGTGAGGACCCAGATAAGTACTTCCTCAATGGCGGCTGGACCATCCAGTGGAATGGGGACTACCAGGTGGCAGGCACTACCTTCACCTATGCACGGAAGGGCAACTTGGAGAACCTCACATCCCCAGGCCCCACCAGTGAGCCTGTCTGGATCCAGGTGCCTGCCTCTCAGAGCCAGGAAGGGAGGAATAAGTGGGGTTGGTTTCCAAGATAGGATATAAAGGGGGAACTTTAGGGCTTCTGTAGGATCTGATTCTGGGCTAAGCTTAGCTGCTGGGGTCTCTGAGTCTTGGTCTCAGTTTTCTCATCTCTAGAGTAGGTCTCTAGTACAGCTCAGTTCACAGAGGTAGCTGGAAATGACCCTAGGGGCAGGTGCTAGGCAGATGGAGAGGATCCCCTGTGCTCACAGGCCCCCTTTTGCCTGTCCCAGCTGCTGTTCCAGGAGAAGAACCCTGGGGTACACTACCAGTATACCATCCAGAGGGACAGTCACGATGGAGTCCAGCCACCTGAGTTCTCCTGGCATTATGGGCCCTGGACCAAGTGCACGGTCACCTGTGGCACAGGTGAGATTCAACACTGGCTGAACCCTTTGCTGAACTTGCTCATGTGAGATCACAGTAATGGCCACTGCGGGTCTTTGAAGTGGGTCTTGTTATTTATTTCCATTTTACAGAGCTAAAAGGCCTAAGCCATCACTAAGAAGCAGCAGGGTGGGCCACCTAGCCTACAGTATAGGGAAGCCTACAGTATAGGGAAGGCTGGGAGGGCAGTGAGAGGAGGCTATGGAGGCCTGCCTTCACCCTGACAGAGGCAGTGGGACCCTGTTTTGTGAGTTCTCTGCAGAGAGGTTGTATGTATATCTCTTGAGCATCCTGGTGCCAGGCCCTGGCTGAGTTCTCCATGGCTTCCAGGAGTGCAGAAGCAGAGCTTGTACTGCATGGAGAGGCGGGCCGGAGTTGTAACTGAGGAGCACTGTGACCCTCTAAATCGGCCCGTTGACCGCCAGAGGAAATGCAGTGAGGAGCCCTGTCCCCCCAGGTGAGCTTACTGTCCCCAACCAGAACTCCGATTCCTAGGTATCCTGCTCCTGCCTCTGCAGAACCCTGGTAGCTCAGGAGAAGAGAGGGTGGCTTCTTTTTCTAAGTCCATGAACCTATCTTGGCCCTGGAGTGCACTGGGCAGCCCGTGCCAGCCTAGATGCCCTTGATAACTCTTCTTTGGATCTCTGGGTACCTTGTCCAGGTTCCAGGGGGTAAGGGAGGTAGGAGTGAAAAGGGCTCTGCCACTGGGCTTCAGGGACTTGACTTGCTGGGGATTATCCTCCGTTCTGGTTTGTTCACACCCCAGTGGCCTGGAGCCACGTATGCCATGGCTATCTTTGCTCATGAAACTTGCTCATGATAGGTGTTAATGTCACACTGTCACCACTGTGTGCCCTCTACCAGGTGGTGGGCAGGGGAGTGGCAGCCGTGTTCCCGATCCTGCGGGCCTGAAGGCCTCTCTCGCCGGGCTGTGTTCTGCATACGTAGTATAGGGCTGGATGAGCAGCGTGCCCTTGAGCCATCTGCCTGTGAACATCTTCCCCGCCCCTTGGCTGAAACTCCGTGCAACCGTTATATAACCTGTCCTTCCACCTGGGGTGTGGGGAACTGGTCTCAGGTTAGTGCAGAAGTGAAAGGGGACCTGCCTCTGGTACTACCATCACCTGGAATCCTTATTGTTTGGAACCTGAAGTGGGAGGGAACCTGGAGGGCATTCCTGGGACAACACTGTTCTCAGAGCCTTGGGGGTCGGGGGTTCATTGGCATGCTATGACCATAGGCTACCATCTTGAGCTGAGCATGGCCATAGAGGACTGTCTGAGACTTCTGTCACTATGACACCAGCAGTGGGCAGGCTCTGCCACCATGCCCCAGCTTTCCCAGAAGTCCCATCCTGGCCTGAGCTGTGACCTCCTTTGCAGTGCTCTGTGACATGTGGAGCTGGCATTCGGCAACGAACTGTCCTCTGCATCAACAATACTGATGTCCCTTGTGATGAAGCTGAGAGACCAATAACTGAGACCTTTTGTTTTCTGCAACCCTGCCAGTATCCCATGTACATAGTGGACACAGGTGCCTCTGGGAGTGGCTCCTCCAGCTCCGAGCTCTTCAATGAGGTTGACTTCATCCCGAACCAGCCGGCCCCACGCCCTTCCCCAGCATCCTCACCCAAGCCAGTCAGCATCAGCAACGCCATTGATGAGGAGGACCTGGAATTGGATCCGCCAGGGCCTGCGTTTGTGGATGATTTCTATTATGACTACAATTTCATTAATTTCCATGAAGACTTGTCCTATGGGTCTTTTGAAGAACCCCATTCAGATCTGGTTGATATTGGAGGTTGGACAGCACCACCTCACATCAGAGCCACTGAACTCCCCTTAGATACTCCAGTGTCTACTGCAGGGGCTCCTGGAGCTGAGGGAGAGGACATTCAGGGATCTTGGTCTCCTAGCCCTTTACTCAGTGAGGCTAGCCATTCTCCAACAGTATTATTAGAGCAGACCTCTGTGAACCCCTTGGGCAATTTCTTGACTGAGCAAGATTCTCCCATAGAGGCCCCTGAACTTGGGTTCCCCAGCTTGCCCTGGCCCCCAGCTTCAGTTGATGATATGATAACACCTGTTGCCCCTGGAAATCCTGATGAGTTGCTAGTGAATGAAGATAAGCAGACCCAGCCCTCCACTCCATGGTCTGACAGGAACAAGCCTTCTAAAGATGGTAACTCCTTGGGTCATACATCAGCTACCCTGCCCAAAAACCCTATCCCCACACAGCCCTCTTCAGCCTCCATCAGTACTACCCAAGCATCTTCAAATCCTGATGTGGTAGAGGTGTCGACAGGATGGAATGTGGCCTGGGACCCTGTGCTAGAGGCTGACCTGAAGCCTGTACATGGTGAGCTGCGACCCACTGTGGAGGTGGCTTCTCCACTTCCTCCCATGGCCACTGTGCCAGACATCTGGGGCAGGGACAGCCCTCTTGAACAAGGAACTCCCATCTTTTCAACCCCAGAACTGAGCTCACAGAACCTAAAAACTCCAGTAATGCCTGGGACCTTGCTTTTGACAGTACCAACTGATCCAAGGAACTCGGGACCATTGGGCCAGCCTCAGACCCCTAACCCTGAGGGGACCCAGAGCCCTGGGTTGCTGCCGAGACCAGCTCAGGAGACTCAAACTAACAGTAGCAAGGACCCTGAGGTCCAGTCTTTGCAGCCCAGCCTAGTGGAGGATGGCGCCCCTGCAGATCTGCTGCCTGCCAAGAATGCCAGTTGGCAAGTAGGAAACTGGAGCCAGGTGAGTTGTACAGGGCCAGGGATGACGGGAAAGTTTGAGTAGGACCCTGGGACTCAGTTTTGAGCAGAGCAAGACACAGCCTTATTCATCCTGCCTTCCTTGGAGAGTGGCATAACAGTTCCTGGGTTGAGCCGACTGACAGCCATGGTGGGCCGAGGCTCCACAAAGCAGGAAGAGTATTGCCTTAGCTCTCATATAGTCTTGAGCATCAGTTTCCCAACTTTGAAGTAGAAGTGAAATGAGGGCCTTCATCTGCTTGAGTCTTGAGTTCTTCTTAAAGGGCTATTCCTAGGCCACACGGAAGGATTCAGAAAAGTCAGTAGCAGCTACAGATTAAGCGCCTCTGCTCCCAGCATCCTCACACTGGCCTGCGTGCCCCAGAAATGGGACTCATACCTTAGCTAGCTGTATGGGTAAGGAAGGCTTCTTTCCATGGCTCCCAGACCCAGTCCTGCCTGGGAGGGTCTGGCAGGTTTAGCAGAGGCACAGTAGGACTCCTCCAGATGTTTCAACCATTGTCACCCTTCAAAGTCTCTTTGGTTTAGGGAATCCCATAATAGTCTGAGTTGTAGGGGGGAAAAGATGGCCAGTTCTCCCGCTCTAGATTGTCATTGTAAGAAGTCCATAATCTGTAGGGAGAGAGGCAGGTTGATAGTCCTACTCATTTAACTGTGTGGATTAAGGGCCTAGACTTTCCTGGTGAGAAACCACAGGATGGCAGGGTAGGTAGGAGGGCCTAGCGGGCCCTTGGGAGCAGGGATAGTTAACTGCTGGTGACATTTGAATTTTCTTTCACAGTCTTCTTAGGAGGTGGGTGGAGGGGTCTGTCTTGCAGATAAAGATGCGGTAGGTTTGAGGTTCTGGAAGGTGAGGGGCTGCCGGGCTTACAGTACCTGTGGCCCACAGTGTTCCACCACCTGTGGCCTGGGCGCCATCTGGAGGCTAGTGCGCTGCAGCTCTGGCCATGATGAGGACTGCACCCTTTCCAGCCGGCCCCAGCCGGCCCGCCATTGTCATCTGAGGCCCTGTGCTGCCTGGCGCGCGGGCAACTGGAGTAAGGTACAGAGGGAGCCCTGGGTCCATGGCTGTGGTTTGAAGACCAGCAGCAGGGCAGGGTGAATGTCATGGCACCGTCTGTTCTCTGATCTTATCCTGTCCTCACCCCTCTTGGAGCTCTTCATTCAGCACGGCCTGGCCCTGCTTGCGTTGCTGTCTGTCTTTTCTCTGAATTAGCACCATCCACCACTGGACTCTCAGCGCACCCTAATTCTATCCCCTGGGGTTGCCACCTGGTGTCCAAGTCTTCTGGGATGCTTTGGTCTAGGCTGAAAGGTTTAACCCTGCTGCACAATAAGCCTCAATGAGTTGTGTTGCTTACATATGCATACGATGTGTCTCTATGTCTATACTTTGCTGTCTAGTGTTCTCGAAACTGTGGTGGAGGTTCCTCTACAAGGGATGTACAGTGTGTGGACACACGTGACCTCCGGCCACTGCGACCCTTTCACTGTCAGCCCGGGCCTACCAAGCCACCCACCCGTCAGCTTTGTGGGACCCAGCCCTGCCTCCCCTGGTACACTTCCTCCTGGAGAGAGGTGAGGTCTGGGCCTGGGGAAGTGGGGACTGAGAACAACCTTGGACCCTGGCTCTACCTGATGCCTCTCTGTTCTTCCAGTGTTCTGAGGCTTGTGGTGGTGGTGAACAGCAGCGTCTGGTGACATGTCCAGAGCCAGGCCTCTGTGAGGAGTCGCTGAGACCTAACAACAGCAGACCCTGCAACACCCACCCCTGCACACAGTGGGTGGTAGGGCCCTGGGGTCAGGTGAGGAGGGTTGCTTCTGGGGAAGAACTGGGAGCAATCCTTGACAGGTAGGCCCTGGTCCTTTGAATGAGTTGTTGAGTGTGTACTATGTGCTGGTCTCTGTGGCCACTAAATAATCAGTAGTGCTCTGACCTAAAGGGGTCAGTGTCGCTAAAGGGAGGGTTAAAGAGAACAGCAAGTTCTGAGCCCTGAGGCAGGAATGATGGAGTGTTCAGGGAATGGAGCAAAGACCACTGTGGCTAGGGATGGGATGGGGTAGAGAGAGGCCCCATAGGGCAAGGCAGCTTGCTGCTGAGCCTATTGGGTGCTGATTGGTTCAAGAACCTCAGTGAATCATTGTCTGACTGGCTGCTGAATGACTCTAGGCAGGTGCTTTGCCTTGCTGGGCTCTTTTTTTCCCCTTCCTCTTTAATTGGGAGCAGCATGGAGAAGAAGTGGAAAAATCTGAAGCGCAGAGCCTGTATCATGTCAGCACAGATTAAACCCGAGAAAAGGCTGGCTCAGGGTGGGGACCACGCTGGAGACACTCTTTCTCTCTCTGCTTGTAGCACTCCTTCTGTGTCCAGGCACTATGATGCCTCATCCCATGGTCTGCCTTCTCTGTGCAGGCCTCTTGGGTGTGTTTTGCATTTCTTCTTACTCATATCTTGCCCTCATTGTAAGAACAGATGCCTCCAGTGATAGTGGGAGTCAGCACTAGGCTCTAGTCAGGAATGGCTTTCTGGAGAGGGTGGTGCTGTCCAGAGACGGCCAGTCCCTGACTGTGATGGCTGGTCCTGGAGACATTCTCTCCTCTCTTCTGTGCAGTGCTCTGTCCCCTGTGGTGGTGGTGTTCAGCGGCGTCTGGTCAAATGTGTGAACACTCAGACAGGCTTGGCAGAGGAAGACAGTGACCTGTGTAGCCATGAGGCATGGCCTGAGAGCTCACGGCCATGTGCCACTGAGGACTGTGAACTGGTTGAACCCCCACGTGAGTGTCTCCTTACCCTTGGGGATGATGGGATAAGGGGAGAAGGATGGCTGGGAACTAAAGAATCATCTAGATGTTGGTTCCAGGACAGCTGCTGTTCTGTTTACAGTTGGCTCAAGCCCCATGGTCACTGTAACTGGGAGGCCACAGGGTGCCAAGGTCCAAAACTGGGAATCAGCCAAGGGAAATCCCAGCTACTCAGGTATCCTGCGGGCAGCTTTATTAGCCCTAGGGAGTGGAGGGAGCATCCTGACCTTGGTTGTGGCAAGCTTTTCTCCCCTGGGGTCCTAGTCCCCACAGTGAAGGGAAGATGTTCTTGGGCTGTGGGCATTTTCTAGTCCTATGATAACTGTCTGGAGGGGCTACAGGAAGGACTCCTTCCCAGGGTGCTCCTGCTGCTGTTGCTGACGATTATGGGCTTCCTGGCCAGCCTGGCCATTGTAGAGGAAAGGTCTGAGCCAGAGGTGGCTCTGGAAATCACCTCCTTCCTGAAGCTCCAGCTGTCCCCAGCAGTGCTGAACACAGGAAACAGTGTGGCCCTTGAGTCACATCTGGGTACCTGCTCACCAGCTATGTAGTCTTGGGCTCTATGTGCCAATCTGGATTGTCATTTCCTCATGCATAAAGGGGCTGTCAATCCCTATTCTTGTAATAGGAGGATCTGCGGGTGAAGGACTCAGTATTGCCAAGGCCTCTCCTTAGTGAAGGCTAGGCCACTTTGCTCCCTCCCGCCCATTTTTGGCAGCCATTACTGTCCTCCATTGCAAAGGCATGTGGAGTCTGAGGCCACCTCTGACACCCAAGGGAACCCAAGAGCTTGCTTGGCATTTACCTACTGATTTGATGCACCTGTCCCTAGGACAGTCTATGGGTGTCAGCCCCGAGCTTTGTACAGCCTTCACTCTCAGCAGCTGGTTCCTAGTGGTACTGGCTCAGGACCAGAGCAGCTACTGCTCTGCCATCCTGCCCTGAATCCCATTGCCTCAAGGTGCTGGAGGAGACGTCAGCCTGGGTTTGTTAAGCCATCCCTGCCTGTTTCTCTCATCATCTCCTTCCATCTATCCCACAGACTTCTAAGACACTCAGCACAAGCTAAGCTGGGTGATGTACCACAGTGCTTGCCTTTGGGGCTGATAGTGCCTATGGCTCTTCTGTTTCTCACACTAAGCTCGGGCTTGGTAGGGAATATGGTAGCTATGGTCTCAGGTGGTGCAGATAGGGAGAGCGCAGGAACTGAGGCTCTACCAGAAATAGCCTGGCTCAGGAGGCTGTGTGCTTGTAAGATCTCCAAGAGGAACGGAGAGGGTAGACTTAGTAGGAACTCCTGGAAGTGACTAGGCTTCTCCCCAATGTCCATCCATGTGAAGAGCCTCCTCAGCACCCCGCCTCCGGTCCCCGCCCCCCACCCCCGCCCAAGTGAAGGGAGCCATTCAGGGAAGACTCTTGGATTGCAAGCCCCAGGAGCTTCCAGGATGTTTTGATGGTTTGTAGGATTGTTCAACAGGACATTTGGAAATCCTGGAAACTCCAGGGTGTGTGATCACTGTGGCAAGGCAGCTCACGTGCCTAGTCATGTGTCCTTCCCGTGGAGGTGGGGGGCTGTTATCAAAAGGAAACCTTCACTCAGTGCTTAGGCCTGCCAGGAGGTCACCCAGGGGACTAGTGTGACAGTTTGGAGTTGCTGCCTAAAAGATAGGGTGGAGGGGCTCATCTGCTGCCTGTGCCCTCTGCTGCACCTGGGGATGTCCCAGACCAGGGCCCAGCTGCCCTCCTGTTCTTCCTCCCCAGGGAATCTGCAGAAGTAAGCAGGGGTCTGGGCAGCTGTGGCTTCAGCGGCAGCAACAGCAAAGCAGTAGCACTGGGAGGAAGGCCAAGGGTCTGGAAGCAAGCCACTTTCCAAAATAGCTTTCACGAGAGAGTCAGCCAGGCCTCAGATCCTGACAACTAGGGCTTAAGTAACTTCCTCCCTTGTACCATCTCCAGGGGCCTGACCAGCCTTTGGTTCCTACTGATGATCTTTGTGGCCTTGGCCCCAAACAGGCTGTCCTGCCACACAAAGGTTCAGGGTGAACATGGTCCACATGAGGCTAAGAGGGAGTGTGTTGGGCAGTACAGTGATGACAGCAAAGGCATGTGGGACCAATGGAGGTGGCAGAGTGTACAGTGGATGCATATTGACACAGTGCCTGAGATGAAGTGCTGGTCCTGGTCCTGTCCAGTTCCAGGGGTGAGCAGGGATAAAGATGGGGCTGAGAGGTTTACATCACTGACCAGTAGGCTCTTGGGTATCTCCTGAGGTGGTAAAAAATGGGGTCTTTGAACTTTTCTTCCAGAAAGCTAAAGTCCCAATAGTGTTAGTAATCCAAGGGCAAGTGAGGCAGGGACAAGAGTAGAGATCTGGTGTTCTGATTCTAGGGCTCTCCTTTAGAAACTGGGTTTCTTGTTGGCTGCCAGTCTTCCTAAGTCAATAGAGCAAGGGGCTTTTCAGTTGAATCACTGGATGACAGAGTGTGGTTCTGAAGACCACGCCCACCAATTCTAACCATGCCACTGCACCTCTTCTCCTCTCTTCTCCTTCAAGGTTGTGAGCGGGATCGCCTGTCCTTCAATTTCTGTGAGACGCTGCGCCTGCTGGGCCGCTGCCAGCTGCCTACCATCCGTGCTCAGTGCTGCCGCTCCTGTCCCCCACCCAGCCGTGGTGTCCCTTCCCGAGGCCATCAGCGGGTGGCCAGACGATAAACCGAGGCCTGGCATACACCAGCGCACATCCGAATGCACAGACTGACCCATGACACACAGACCTCAGTGCCCCACCACAGGCTGCGGTGGAGCCCCGCTCCTCGTGTCCTAATGGTGCTAACCCCACCCCTGCACAACGGCAGGCTGGGGATCCCCTGTCCTTTCAGAAAAGGTATTTTTTTATTCTAACGGGTTGCACATTTGTTATTGTTTTACATAAATGAGTTATCTACCCTTTCAAAGTGGTTTGGTCTTGTCTTTGGATTTGGAGACTCCCCAACCTGACCCCTACCTACTTCTCTTGTCAAATGGCTACTATTCTGTCCCCTGTTGGAGCCACAGCACACAGCAGCTTCTCTGTTCCTCTGGGGGCAAATCAGCATAGCTAGCAGAGGTCAGGCAAAGACGCCCAGTGTAGACACACAAGGTCCTGAAGGGAGTGGAGGTGGCTTCTAGGGAAGGTGTATCTCCAGAGGGTTCCATGGTGTGAGCAGGAAGGTCTTCTTTGCAGGGGGTACAGGTTGGCAGAGGTCCAGGGAGTCCTGTTCACTGTCCCCGATCATTCTTCACCTCTGCCTATCTTCCATGAAGGTCCTCAGAGGCCTAGGTTCCACAGAAATGGGGCATGTGCACTCAGGCAACAGGTTGTCTTGTCTCCCATGGGGACTACCTGTGGCATGACCGTAGGTACAGCTCAGATGTGCTACCTGAGAGCAGCTCAACATGCAGGTACTTTGAAGAGGACCCTGGTTAGTGACAGGGATAACTAAGTTTTCCTCTCAAGTTTGGCCCCGTCGACCCCTTCCTTCTAGCTGTGAGCTGTGAGAGTCTTCTGGAAGGCATTATGGCCTCCAAGTTTGAGGCCCTGAAGTTCTGGGAGGGCACCTGTCCCATTTTATTTGCCAGAGTGAGGTGTTTGTGGAAGCATGAAGGCACCTGGCCACTGAAAGTCACTCCCTGAGACTATCAAAGGGCATCAGAGGGTGGACCCAGTCAGTGCTGCACCTGTCTTGTGACTTACACTACCTAGGAGTGGGTAGGATGGAGCAAGGGTTGGTGCTCTCAAGAGTAAAGGTGTTTTCCTAGCTCTGGGTTCCATATGCCCCTGCCATCTCATCCTGAAGTTGAACAGGTGAGAAGGTCACAGTGGAGGGAAGGGACTGGTCCAAAAGTACAAGCCTAGGAGGTACAAGCCCAGTCTAGCTCTTGAGCCCTTACTTCCTATTCTGGGCTCCAGAATGGAGGCTATACACGGCTTGGTCAAAGTCAGCCAATCTACCAGGTCACTCAGGAAAGCAAGTTGCTGGTGGCTTGTGTGCATCCAAGCACTACCATGCTGAGGTATTGGGTATGCTTCTTATTTGTGTCTGCAGCAGCCCTGTGGGCCCAAAGAGGCCCTAGGGATCTACTTTGAGTAATGGCTTCCTATAACTTTGCCTAATCCACTCCTCATGGCAACTCCTCACAAAGATGGGAGCAGAGCCATTTCTGTGCTCCAGACCCATACACAGCAGGGACTGGCACTGTGGCAGGGCCCTAGGGTCCCTGACCCAGCTCTGGCCTCTGCCATTACTATAGTGCTGTGTGGTCTCAGGAGCTCCCCACAGCCTTGCTGATTAAATCTATGTCTCCCAAAGACCAGCAGCAGTGTAATAGATCCAGGCCTACACTGATGAGTCCTGGTCAAACTCCCCTCCCCCTTGTTGGAAAGACATTTGGTCCTAATCATTCTTGGTTTTTTCCAGAGATGGCTGGGGGAGTCCCTAGTGGCAGCTGGGCCTGAGCTGTCCACACAGACAGGAGGCAAACAAGCCATGACTCAGGCTGGGCACACACAGCGAAAGGGTACCTATCTCCCAAGGGGTGGGGTGGGTAAACTATTCCAGATACAGGCAGCATTTCACTTGTGGCTTCAGCCTCTGCCCATAGATGAGCCATGGTACTCAGGGCAACTAACCTCTCAGCCTACCAGTGCTGAGAAGGGCATCCTGTCTCTCCTATCCTAATGGGACTAAGGGAAGAGATATAAGAACCAACAGGCTCAAACTGGAGAAGGCCCTCATGCACACCCCATACCACAAGACCACGCAGAGGCTTCTGTCACAAATGACTACAACTATCTTTCGAGGCAGAATGTAATACAAATTAGTTTATTTCTTCCTTTACAAGTCTAACATTTAACTCAAGAATGAGCACAGAAGCTGCTGTGATATAAAAGGATGGTCACTTGGCAGTGTGCCCTCAAGTCCTCCAGTTGCCCACAGGAGGAGAGCCTCATACACTGGGCTCGCATCTAGCCTCTGTCTTAAAGGATTTTCCTGACCAGCCACTCTCCCAGGGGTAGCTGCATCAGGACATCACTGTACTAAGTGAGAGGGGCTTGTGCGGTAACATAGCTAATGAGACCTGACTGGGTATTGCCCAGAGTACTTCCATATCAACAGACCACAGCTAACAGACACCACATAAGTAAATGCTGACCAGTACTGCTGTTTGGCTGTCATCATGGCTAGAAGTAGCCCGAGGCTACCTGGGTGAGCAGAGGAGACGTGAAGGTCAAAGCTAAGAAGAAAAAGTGGCACAAGAGGGACCTGCAATTTGGGAGCTTGGGCTGATATAAATACATACAGGGGAGTTGTGCACATAAAATAGAACTTGTTATATAAAAGTTGTACAGAATCTAGAAAAACCTTAATATAAAATAGTCTATAAAAATATAAAATGTAGTGAAAATATAAAAGTATCAACAGTTGGAATATTGGTAAGTCCCACCAGATGGGGTGCTGAGGGCAGGGTGCTCCCCTACTGTGGCACATGCATTTGGACCCACATGCTGGGGGCTGTGCTTTGGGTTTCTCAGCCCACAAGGCTCACCAGGCAGGAGCATGGGTTGCATGCTGGGTAAAGGTTCAGATGAGAAGCAGCATGAGGCAGTCCCTGACATTAGGGGTCCCTGCCATGGTGGCTGGTAGAAGTCTGGAACCTCAGGAGCACTGGAGGGTAAAGATGGGTCTCAGTGATGAGAGAGAATGGGAGATGATAGCCCAGCCACTGGGGCTGTGCCTCTGGGATGAGCCTCTGTCATTTTGTCTCCAAACTGGAAAGAGGGCAACCATTCCTTCTCAGCTCTGCAGACACGGAGTCATTTATTCCACTGAGGAGCCTCTAAGTGTGCATTCTCTTTGGGACCTCTTGAGACTTTTACCTGGGCACTGATGCTAACTGCCTGAGAAACTAATGCTGTCTCTTGGGGAATGGCAGAACAGGCCCCCACGCATACTGGAGATTTTTCTTTTCATCGCTAGGATGGAACCCAGGGGCCCCCCATGCCAGGCATATGTTCTAGGCCATGTCCCCATCATCACCAGGTGCACAGGACAAAAGCAACCTACCACTAAGAGAACATTTACACCAAATACACACTTGGTCTTGCATCTTCTGGTAGGAAATGGACATGGCAACTGAAATCAGAGCAGCTGGAGCTGAAGCATGGGGCTCCAACCCTACCCTACTGCACCTCCTAACAGCTGTCCCCAAGGCTGACAGCTGACATTTCACAGGGGGTGGGACATCTTCCAGCATTTGGTTTCAGGGAGGCCCTGGGAACAGCAGTGAGACCACTGCCCAGCTCCTGACAGCTTCCTGAAGAAGCTAGGCCACAAACCACCATCCCAAAGACATAATGATGACATTTTTGATATCTGAAAATAGACAAAGATTATTGGCTAAATATTGAGACCAGCTCCTTTTACATGGTAATAAATGAAGCAACTTTTAGAGAAGTTAAACATAGTCTAGATACTGAAAAATGGACTCAGCCACTCAAGTGCTAGAAGGCAAACAGCAAAAACAGGAAAACGGGTCATGGAAAAAGCGCTTCTCGACACTGTCTTGCTTCACTCCTTAGTCTGAGTGTGTTTACACTAAGGATTGTTTCCAATTTTTTTTCCAGGTAGTGTAAAATAGTCCACTTAAGGCTGTTTCCCTTGTGTTCCAATAATACTGTATAAGATGTTTTCTCATGACAGACACCCATCAGAGATGCTATGGGGTTGAGCAAAAATCACCTTTCTTGTTCAGACCCTCTCTGGGCTTCAAGAAGGAAGTCCCCAGAGTCTGCTATGCCAGAGGCCACAGTGGCCCCAGATTCCTGTTGGGTACAAGGATGATCCAGGCAGTGCAGAGACTAGAACTCATCACTCTCGTTCTCAAGGAAAGGTGCTTCCAGATACAGAAAGCTGGCATTCAGCCCCACTCCTCCCCCTTTTGTTGGTTAGGAGAGATTCCAGAGCCCTAGCCACTGTCATCCAGGAGCCCACAAACTACAGATCTGAGTTTCCCATGTTCTTTTATGCAGGGGTGGGTCTACTGCAAGGTTCCTTTGGAACTCCAATCCAGCCACACTTGGAGAATGGCATCTACAGGTCAGCTCCCAGCTAGAAGGGCTTTCCACAGCAGCTCTTGGAGATGTGCTAGTCCCACTGCAAGCTGGGACAGACAGCTGGCAAACAGCTGGCAATGAGAAGCATGGGGGCTGCTGCAGAGCAGGGTGAGCACTCCAGTCTGAAAGGCTCATCCAGAAGTGACTGTGGCTGGCTGGGCCACCAGCAGAGGGCTCCCACGCTCTCTAGGGAGGCCAGTTCTATGCTTGCTTTTTTAAGAGGTCCTTCTTCCGATGGTGACCTTTTGTCCCTGGAAGCAGCCACATTGCAGCCCCTTGTACATTCCTCCACAGTGCTGCCCTTGGATAAAAGGAAAGAGCACAGGAAGATGTGGAACACAGTTTTTGCAGGGTGAAACACACACAACTGGCAGATGCTGTAAACAGGCCCTTGGAAACAGTCACCTGGTGAGTCACCAATCAGGTAGCAAGGATATGATGCATTTGACTGAATGCCATGACATGGAAATGGCTGTAAAGCCACCGGACTCCTGCTCCCAAAGGGAGATGAGAAGGTGCAGCTAGCTTTAGGACATCTGTCCAGCAGATGCCCAGAGGCTGTAGATGTTACAATCTGACAGCTGGTGTGTAGAGATGTGCCTTTGCTACTTTTGGTTATGAAGGAAGACAAGAAGAGCAGCATCCTAGGGTGAGGATTCATTCAAGTGTCTTCCTCCTCATCGCTAACTAGCTCGCCTTTGTCAGGGCTAGTGTCCCGCTCACGCAGGAAGTCCTCTCGAATGGCCTCCAGCTCTGTTAGCTCCAGCCGGACCTTCTCCAAGTGGTAGGCTCTCCGGTT